TATTAATTATGTTGTTGGTAAGTATTTTAAAATTAAATTAATAATAAATAAATAAATAAATAAATAAATAATATATATATATATATATATATATATATATATATATATCCAATACTTACTTGAATCGGCAGAAGAGCTAAAGTACTAACCATCACAAAATGTGTGTATCATAAGAACAGTAATACTCTATGGTCTACAGTATACAATGAATCGGCAGAAGAGCTAAAGTACTAACCATCACAAAATGTGTGTATCATAAGAACAGTAATACTCAATGGTCTACAGTATACAAACTGTGGCGACTATTCTGATCAGTGTTCTCGTATTCACTTCAGATGGCTCTTCATTTTGGCTGGGAAATTGGGTGAACGGCTGAATTTGATAGTCCGCTGTTCGATGTTAGCCTTTAGATGTTAAATTGGATGGCATGGGGTGTTTCATGAAGTATGAGAAATTTTTTTTTGAATTTTTTAGTCTAAGTCAATGACTTTTTTACAATCATCTAATTTAAAATTTGATGTACAAGATTGATTGTGAGCTACTTGTATTAAAAGTAAATGGTTTTTTTATATACTTTTGCTAAAAGATAGAACCTTGTGAGATTTTTTTTAAAATTTTTTTATGGGTGAGGGAAATAAGATGCAACTCAAAAATTATGTTGAAAGATAAGTTTTGGTGATGATGGAAAGTCTTGCGATTGCATGAAAATCTAACACCTAATTATGAATTTAAAGTTCCAAAGATGGTGATGATCAAACAGATCAACGACACTTTAAAATATTAAAATTGCACGGTTTAGATAATGTGTTGAGGATAAACTATTTTTTGGACTTCAATATTTTTCTCTTTACATTCATAAATCTTAAGGTGGAGATAATCAATTTCATGGTTTTTTTTTTTTGCATCTTGAGTTTTTAGGTGCATTTTACTAAAGGGAAAGGTTTCTATACTTCTCTTAAAGCATAGAAGATCTATGTGTCTCCTACCATCCAAGTGTCTAATTTTGATCAAGAGAGCCACTCACTGTTTGATCTTAGATCCGATGTTTCAAAGTATTTTATTTTTAGTTTTTTTATACAAATTGTATAAATATAAAATTTGGCACGTGTCATCTTATCATTGGGATGCACCCGTAAAAAATATTAAAAATAATTTGTCGATAAAATATAATAACCAATATACCTTTTGAAACCTTCAGAGGTATTTTGGTCATTTTATTTTATTGAAAATATTTTTTTTATATTTTTCGCTAATGCGAGTTTAATAGAAGATTGGACATCCAAAATTTTGTGTCAAAATAGTTTATAGAAAAAACATTAAAATAAAAATAGTGTAGATACGTGATATTGTGATTAGAGTAATCTTAGCCCTTCATTCAAAATTGACAGTTGGATAAGGAGAAGTATATAAGTTTTATGCTGTAGAAAAAACATATAAATTAGAATAAAAATAGACATCTTATACAAACTCTTTTCAATGTTATAATGTGAATGAGACATTGGTGTTATAGAACGGACCATGCCCATTACTGTAACAACCTCCGATATATAACAGCCGACGACTTTTTCTCAAGGAGAGAGATTTGGAGGGAGCGGGAAATGCTATATGAGTATGAGAACACGTGATTTCCAAAGCCCGTTAGATGTTCCCAAGCTAAAAAATATCTAATTGGCGATGGACGGCTGCGATTTTCCATTAACAAAATATGGACCACCCATTCAAAAGGATATCCAGGACACCGAACGACCCCCTCTTCCTTTGCCACGTGTCAATCGCCAAAATGTATACTAAATTGATTATGCAGGAAGGAAAAAGTTTATATACCTTATTTATAATGTAGTACCTCAAAAATCCATTGGAAAATGTAGTTTTAATATTAAAAAATCTTTTAATTGATCATCTCGACATCGAGATATATGACCATGAAAAATAAAAGGATTTTAACTCTAAAAAATAGTTCATTTTAAAACATATTTACACCGTCAATTTTCAAGATTTTCATATGTTTATAGATCTATTTGATTTTAAATATTTTTGAAATTTAAAATTTTATAATTAGATATAAAAATAGATTTTGTGATAATCCTAAAAATATTTTACATTAAAATTATATACCATGATAAAATTTGGAGGTGCACCTTACCTCTACAGCTATGGATGCATCTGTATGCCAACTGCACCCCTGCAGGAAACATCTCCATTCAGGCGAAAGAACAATTGTTTCATGTGGGCTGGAGTCCAACGGTATAAAGCATCCAGGTGGTCCATCTAAAAAAGATTATAACTAACCTTCTAATTTTTTTTAATATAATTATTATTTCTAGTTTTCAAAGGAAAAAAAAATCATATTCATGATCTCCATATTAAAGATTATATATTCTTTAAAAGTTAGGATCAAATTATATTTAAAAAATATATTTATTACCAAACTCGTATTTCTACAATATGCGGGCTGGGCCACATGCTAATCCGCAAAATAAAAGGGGTGCTGTTTGTATAAGGTTGAGATCCTAAACAATCAAAGTAAGGCATACTTCTAAATAGTGCAATACATTATCTTGGCCATCAATTTTTAATATTTCTAAGTGTGTATAGACACACTATTTTTGAAGTTTTAAGTTCTATAAATAGAGAAGAAAATAAATTTTAAAGCCATCACAAAGATTTTAGCTGCTTAACTTGTATATTATTTTCCATACTCGAAATCCATTTATTTTCGCGTCCATTTATCTCAATGTCTATATATCTCGAGGTCAAGATGAAGGATTTGAAGGTTTGTTTTTTAATTGAATTGTTTAGGGCCACAACCTTCTATAAACATTTTCCAAAAAAATTTCTAATTACAAAAACGAAAAGAGTGTAATTTGTATAGAGCCGAAGCTCTAAACAATCAAAGTAAAGCGCACCTCCAAACAGTGTCAAGAAATGTGGTTTCAATATTGAAAATTTTTATAAAAACATTAAAATATATTTTAATCTTTAATTATAAAATTTAAAGCTGTAAGAAAAGTGTGGATGTAGCAGATCTATGAAAACTTGAAAATTTTGAAAATTGATGGTCCAAAATCGTGTTACAATATACACTGTTTTTAAAACTTGAAATCTATTTTTTTTTAGTATCTTTTCTAGTATCTTGATGTCGAGATGATCAATTTGAAGATATTTGAGCATTAAAACACTTTCGTCTAGTGAAATTTTTGAGATTGGGCTATAATTTGATTGTTATAGCGTGGGCTCTAAGTAACTATTATCCAAAAGGACACCATTTTGAAATTGAAAAGCTGCAGTTTTTAGCATGGTGGACTTATCCACTAAAAAATCCACCCACAGAATTCTCACCACTCCATTCCCCTTCCCCTATCTTTCTCCTCCACCCAATTCATGCCACACCCCTCCCTTTCACCTCTTTTCTTTCTCCTCTCTCCTTTCTCTCTCTAAAAAACTCTAATTTTTCCGGTTAAAGACTTGGAGAACCAACCAAATTTGAGACCCTCCCCATACCTGCAATTCCCTTTCTCTCTCCACCATGGCTGCAGTTACAGCTGCTTCAGTCTCACTGTCAGCTTCCAACTCTCATTCTCTCTCTACCAGGGCCTCCATCTCATCAGAGAGAATCAGTTTCCACAAGGTAAGAGCTTTCATGGAAGAGTTTGTTGGGTTCTGCTGAATTGCTGAGATTTAGTGTTTCTGCTAAATTTAGAGGCATTGACGAGCTTTAATGTGAATTCTTAAATTGTTAATTCCTCCTTTTTTTGTTCTTTTTTTAAAACTGTACTGGTTTCTCGAAATTAAGTGTTATTCGGTATTTGCTGCGGTAAGTGATATATCTGAATATGTTAAAACACATTTCTTCTTTCCTGGTGAAGAATTTATCCTACGTTTTGGATGCTCTCTCTTTATCAGTCTGAAGCTTTTCTGCATTCTGAGATTTGAGTAGAGCTAGAATTACCGGCACTCAATCCGTTAGGTTCTTTGAATGTTTTTCTCAAAAAGTTATGCTAAATGTACTGTAAGCTCTGAGTTACTGAAGCTTTTCTTTGTTAAGACTTAAGAAAGTGGACAATCTTATTGATATATTGGCTTTGTCCTCCAAATTAAAATTCCCCAGCATTCAATTTTTTAAGCTCTAATGATTTCCAATTGTGATGAATTTCCATATATCTATGAATAGACTGAAGGAGTTTATCCCCTTAGAAAGGTAGAATGTCTTCAGCTTTAGGAGTTCTATTTGTAAAGTTTTGTTGTCTGAGGATTAAAGGCATTCTTGCTCTAGAATAACATTGACCAGCTAAAATTAGGCACTGGGAATAACATAAAAGTTTTGAAGCTTTATGATTGGTACCAATTCCATGAAGAGAATTTTGAGTGGTCTCTTAAGAGTAATTTTTTATCTTCCTTTTATGCTTCAATGACAGGCTTTTCTAAGTGGGAAATCCTTATCTTCTGAGTCATTCCTACATGCCAAGATTGTCGCTCCAATCAGTAAGCTCTCGGTAAGAGCACAAATTACTACAGAAGCTCCAGCAAAGGTCGAGAAGAAGCACAAGAAGAATGAGGAAGGAGTAGTTACTAACAAGTTCAGACCCAAGGAGCCTTACATTGGTCGATGCCTTTTGAACACAAAGATAACTGGCGACGATGCTCCGGGAGAGACATGGCACATGGTTTTCAGCACTGAGGGTAAATCTTCTTAAAACTCAATAATTCAGCTTTGATCAGATGAAAATTTTACAAGAATCCAATGGTGTATGGTAAATGGTGATCCAAAGGGCACCGTCCATCTGATGTATGGTGGGGTTTTGCTGTACTTGGATGAATTCCAGTGGGCCCCGCTATAGTTAATCTGCACCATCTGTCATCAGGTATGATGGTGTTGGCCCTTTTCTGTGCCATATTCTATAGACCATTGGATTATGGTATGCCTTCACTTTGAAAGGTCTCCTGCTTGAACTTTCAAATCTGACTTCTTTTGATCGAGCCTTAAAATCTGACTTTTGTTTGTATTTTTTGGCTTATTTTTTTATTTAAGGGGAAATTCCCTACAAAGAAGGCCAGTCTGTTGGTGTCGTTGCTGATGGCCTAGACAAGAATGGGAAGCCCCACAAGTTGCGGTTATACTCTATTGCCAGCAGTGCCCTTGGAGATTTTGGTGATTCCAAAACTGTTAGTGCTTATCACTATTTGTTCTCTTTTTTAATGTCCATGATTGCATATGCATTATATCGAAGTTCAATTCTCGTCATATATATGAGTTGCTATGTGTTATTAGAGGTGTTTCATTGTTGAACCATCTCTCCCATGATCTAGTTAGTTGTATCTTTTTCTCTCTCTGAACAGTTGATTTTGTAGGGTTTCCCACGTTTTGTTTAAAGCTCTGGAGTGCACATTGATATGGTTAACTGTAACTCTACAGGTTTCTCTGTGTGTTAAGAGGCTTGTGTACACAAATGAGCAAGGCGAGATAGTCAAGGGCGTCTGTTCAAACTTTTTGTGTAAGTTATCTGATTATACTGTACAATTTGTCTAACATAAACAATTTCTAAAGCTTTAATGCTAGTGATAACATCTTGTACCTAAATATTTATCAGAAAATCAAACAAAAAGAAAGCACTCAATGATTTTATGAAATTCTTACGTCTTGTACCTAAATATTTATCAGAAAATCAAACAAAAAGAAAGCACTCAATGATTTTATTAAATTCCCAAGTTTTTTACATATTGGGGAATTTACATTATTGAAAAGTATAATGTTGCTCTATTTTTAAATTTAGGTGATTTGAAACCTGGAGCGGAAGTTAAACTGACAGGTCCAGTCGGGAAAGAAATGCTTATGCCTGCCGATCCTAATGCCACCGTCATCATGGTAATTTTCTTCAAGCTTTTGAGGAAGTATAATATATTTTAATGGGCTAAGGTCTTTCATATATTCCATTGGACTGGGTTTTACTTACTGGAAGAAGAAAAATACCTACAGTGATGTAATCATTCTAAGTTTTCTGTCTTTCACATGCTTTCCTTATCGATAATTATTTTATTGTTTTTTCTGTAAACTAGCTTGCAACAGGTACTGGTATTGCCCCTTTCCGAGGTTTCGTGTGGAAAATGTTTTTTGAGAAGTATGAGGATTACAAGGTAACAATCCTGTTTGTAATATTCAATTTGACTCCTCTATCAAAACTGAGTTGTTCGAGTTAGATTGGTAGCTGGGCATATTTGATGTTTATATGATCTTTGGTAAACTATATTGCAGTTCAATGGGCTAGCATGGCTGTTCTTGGGAGTTCCCACCAGCAGTTCGTTGCTCTACAAGGAAGTAAGTTTATTGAGATAAAAACATTGGGACAAAGGCCATTCGGACTCGTTGGGAGATTTATAGAATAGAATTTATGAATTTTATCATGAAAAGATTAGAGATTAGAAATAGGCAAGTATGAAAATAAGAATTTGGAAGAACCTCAAAATATGTTGTCCTCATCTTGCATTTACACACACATCATATGAATATAATCATGGCACAATTTATAGTCATAGGTGACTAACGTAATATGAATTTCCTTGCATGCTTGGATGACCTATAGAAGAGATTATTTTGGTTCAGGAATTTGAAAAGATGCAGGAGAAGGCACCTAACAACTTCAGGGTTGACTTTGCTGTGAGCCGTGAGCAAACAAACGAAAAGGGGGAGAAAATGTACATCCAAACCCGAATGGCGCAGTATGCAGAGGAGCTATGGGAGTTGCTTAAGAAAGATAATACCTTTGTTTACATGTGTGGTTTGAAGGGTATGGAGAAGGGTATAGATGACATTATGGTGTCTTTGGCTGCTAAAGATGGTAAGCAATGCATTTTCGTGTTACCAAAATCAAAGACTTGTTTTAAGTGTGTAGTATTACTGCTACTAACCAAGCTGATCTACCCCTTCTGTTTACTTGTCTTGATTTGCATATATAACACTTCCTTTTACACTAATTATATGCAGGGGTTGACTGGTTTGAATACAAAAAGCAGTTGAAGAAGGAAGAGCAATGGAATGTTGAAGTATATTAATACCTGGTCCTCTTCCACTATGAAGCCATTCTCAAGTAATTCCTGTTTGGTTATGTCAATAGGTAAATGAGCCCGCCCCTTGTAATTTGCTCTGAATTTTCTCTCATTGTCACCTACATTAGCCTTCTTGTATTTGTATCAACTAGGTTTTGTAGGTTGTACCGATAATCGATTTTCATATCCTGTAAACATGTCAATATTGGTATTTCATTCTTACATAGAAATAAGACTTCAAGAATTACTTCAAAGTCTAATCTGTCGTTCACATTCATTCTAGCCGTATGTCCCTTCGATATTTGACAATCCAGCAGGCTAACCATTAAGATAATTTTGTATCATTCCATGTGAAGGTTAGGAGCATACTAAGCCAAGAATATCTTGAGGAGATGAACTTTCAAAATTCAAGGAAAATTAACCTGAACAATAATCAGTACTTGGTATATCGATGCTGATCACTTAAAAGCTCATTTATCACAAGCGGTAGGCACATGTGGATAATGAAAATGGAGGACTGAAATTCAAAGAGAATAACTTTTGACACAAATGCATATAGTGGATCTTCAGGCAGGCCATTACCAGTGGTTTTACATGGTGCTATCCAATTTCTGCCATGGAATCTACTCTGGTTCCTTCATTCACTTAATGAAACCCATGGACATTCTTCTCTCTCTCACGCAAACACGCACGCATGCAGAGGACAGATACTGAATCCCTCAAAAAGCACAAACATTTTGCGCCTTGCAGATAAACACAATCACCAAGTTAAGAGAAGGCAAAGCATGATCTGTAATCCAATCATGTTTTAATCGTTGAATATAGATGGACAGGATTCATCTTAATAACCCAAGTAACAAATTTGTTGACAAAGTGGGTGAAAATCCTCGCGTAAACCTGATTATGAAATTAACAAAATGCAAATTTGGACAGAGTAAACATCAAACAAAAAAGAAAAGGGAGCCAAGCATTTTCAGGATCAGCCTATTGAATGAGCAAATACGAGAATTAGATCTCGAGAATGCTTCTAAAAAATGATAGTTTGAAGAAATTTCTGTTACTCGATTGAGTAGAAGTTATTTAGGAATAAAGGTTCATAGAAACTAATTAACCGAAAAGTTTACACATCTTACAAAACTAGTGTATAATCCTTTGAATAAGGAAAGGTAGCAAGGAAAAAGAAAATAGAAGGGATGAAAATAACTAATTGCCCTTATTTCCCTCTCTCCACTTGCATAAGTGTATTATTGTCTACCACAAGTAATAAAGAGAAGCAAAACAATTTCTTTTTGTTGTTGTGACACCAGTGGGGTTTGTAGAAAGTTCAGGATTTTTTCACACAATTAGGGTTTAGAAATAGGAAGAAACAAAGGAAATTTATTTATTTCTTAAAAATCCTATTTTATTATTCAAATTTAAAAATAATTTTTATATATTTTGTATTTTACTCTCAAGTCCCACTTTTTGAGAGTGTAAATTGTATTTTAATTTTAGTTTCCCTTATGTATATCGAAGAATTGAGCTCACATTTGTGGAGTTAATACTTATCATTGTCTTACCTTTGTAAAAAGAAAAAAATTTTAAAAGATATTTTAAAATAAGTAAAATAATAAAACTACCCCTAAATTTTTGAACTTTGTAGGGGCATTTTGGTTATTTTATTTAAATTAATTCTATTTTTTTACAAGTGCATTAGGCGAGAAGCACAGATGCCCTAAATTTGACCTTAATCGGACATATAGAAAAGGGTGCGGTTTATATAGAGCCTAGGCTCTATATAAATTAATCAAATTAAAATATACTATTTACTATAAAACGGGATTTAAGTGAAAAATATAAAGTAGATGGGACTAACTTTAAATTTCAAAAATAAAAAGAGATTTTTTTATTAATTTCCCAAAGAACAAATTGTTGTCTTAGATTTCCCGCACTAGCATGTAAAAAGAAGAGAGGGGTGGAGGAAGGAAGAAACGTCACATTCTCCTAACTTGTGTTTGGGCAAAGCACAAAATGATTGCCAACTCAAAGTTACAAAAACAATGACTTGGTTCTAACTTTTTGGATTATTTGGTTTAAATTTTGTGAGACATCTCGCCTCTTTTGTATAGCACCAAAGATCAATTTTAGAAAGTAATAAATCATATGTTAAATTTTTTTAAAAAAAAATGCCATATTTATTAGTCCATCCAAACAAGGCATAATGTGACTGTGTCTTATTCACCTATATTGTGCCCTGTTTGGATCAATTTTGGAAGATATTGTCTCTCTAAGCTATGAGTGTAAAATTAGAGCATTTTGAAGGCTCTTTGCTTACAATCACCTACATCACAGCAACAACTAATGCCTCACATAAAATGACCAATTTACAAGAAAATCAGTGAGACTCACTGATGTAGATGATGGGCCGATTGTGGCTGCTAAGATGCAAGTTTAGCAACTGTTTTCCCTAACCCAATTCGCATTTATAATAAATAAATGTTTACAGACTCCCTATTTGCTTTACACATAAGACGCATATTGGTCTATAAATCCTTTCTTTCTTTGGGGAATATGCTTTGAACCATAAGCCACCTAAGGGCTTGGACCTTATGTGGCACTTGGAGACTCCACACCATTTGTAGTGAGTAACTATAGTGTTTCGTTCTATCAGCATAGAGGAGTCGGTACAGAGATTTTTACGATGAATTCTCCTGAAGTACAGAGGTCCCAAATTACTTCATCTCGCTTATGTCCGACATAATAGAGTTCTTGAAGCATCTCCACGAGACCAGTAAACAGTTCAATATATCTATCAGACAACCTCTTTTGAGAAGAGTTGATCGACCGTGTTAGATTATGTCCTTCCCCAATCTCATTCTTTACTGTTGCTAATGGGTGTAGACTTTTGCCAAGATCTCCTCGAAGGCGATTCAAAGAGGCATTTCTCCTAGCCATTTATCAAACCAAGAGCTCGTTTGGTCACGTCTTCTAAAAAGACTTCTACTATGTCTTAGTTTAAGAGTCTTACAATGATGTATCTTCATGAATAAGATAGTAAGGTCTATTTATCGGGCTCTTAATGTTGATCTATGCTCCATGCATACTTTGTCCCCACCACTTACACTCCATAATTAGTTTTTGTGGCAGTGATATCTCAAAAAAGGGGCTAGGGTAGTGGTGGTAGCACCTCATACGTAGTTACGACATTGTGGTTTTCATTAAAAGGAAGACTAATGCGGTCGCTTTCTCGAAACGGCTATCATTATACATGCCGTGTGATGGCTCGTGGATGAGACTTTGACTGCCATCTCTGAAGACTACCATCACACACAAGGGTCACACAGTCCTTCGGCTCACTCATCCAGGCATACTCTGACCTCATCAAGGGATGACCTATTAGAATCCTTATCGGATAATTTTCTATGCCCATATAACATAGGTTTTTCCAACTGACTGCCCTAGCTCGTCAAGCTCAATTCAGTATCAGCAAACATTGTTTTCATAGTATGATCCACGAGGGGCCATACTCCCACTGAGTTTATCTTCCACTATATTATTTCATTTTACAAGCACTCATAAGACATTTAATATCCACACTTACCCAACATCCATTCCTACTACTAACACCACCCTACTAACACCTTCAAAAAACCTAACTCCTAATTTACATGAAAAAACAGATAGGGTATGTCTTCCCTACTGAATTACCCAAAAAAATAAAAACAACATCATGGAGGCAAGCTTGTACTCATGAGCTTTAATTTCCTTATTGCCACCCTCTTCTTGCTCTAGAGTGTACCCCTTATCCCACATAACTATATGATGCCTAACTATATTGTTAGTATTACCCCAAAGAATGCTCTCATCTTCTCTTCCAAAAATTGGATCACCCGAGAAGGGATAAGAAACAAATACATGTAATATACAGTGAAATTAGACAAGGTGCACTTAATCAATGTGATTCATCCCCCCGAGGATAAATATCTCATTTTCTAAAGATGGGGATTTAGTTTCATTTGAAACCTTATCATATTTGGATCCTATATTGATCTTGGATGGTGTTTGGACATGAGTAGGAGGCCTAAAATACATACAAGGCAAGGAATCAGTTCTGCATCCAACTATTTTAGCCCAATTTGGAACCATTTGACCTTGGCAACCTACTCCAATTAGCGTACTTTAACGCATATTTACGTTCAAACCTGTGACAACTTCTATACCTTTCAAGAACAACCACATAATTCTGACCTCCCACTCTCAAGAGATGAGATGGATGGATTCAGTATTTTTATTCTTCTCAATTTTAAAGAACTTAATTATTTCTTTATTTTTTATGGTTATATTTTTTTATTAAAGTTAATTGTTAGAAGTAGAATTAGTTTGGGTTTTTAGATTACTTTGATAAAGTCCCTTTTCTTCTTGGAGTGAGTCCATTTTTTAAAATTTTAAAAGGGTCTTTCGTTTTTTAGGAGGGATAAGTCTTTCTTTGGTAGGTCCGTACTTTTTCTTTAAGTATTTTTTCTTTGTATTGGTTTTAAGCAAGTTTAATATTTAATAAAATCTTGGTTTTGGTCGATATAGAGTACGTTTTAGTAGGAAGTCTTTAGAAAGGATTTATCGTTTGAGAGTAACGTGAATAGGAAGCAAGAGTGGTATATAAAAGGAAAAATAGATTTTATGTACAGCTTTTGAAGTTTTTGTGAGTGAAACTTAAGATTGGACAAAAATAATAATAATCTAGAGATGGAAGGAAGAATTTGTGTCTTCCGTTTTCTTTTCTCTTGTATGGGGGAATTCTCAAATCCTCACGTTTGTATCTTTTTTTTACAAATTTTTTCTCAATTTTTTTGTTTCTCTCTAAAATGCAGCTGCATTTGTCGGTTGTTGGCTGCTGGTGAATTTTCCGCTGTGCCACATTCTTCTGCATTGCAAAAGATGATTGTATCACTAATATATTGTGCGTGCAATGAATTTGGGTTACCCATTATATTAAATCCCTAGATGAACCCCCTTCACACCACTAAGAATAGAATCACACTAAATGACTGAACTAGTGAGATATATAAGAATGGGAAAAGTGGACCCTCTTGTTTAATTCCCTATGAAGCCTTAAAGTATCCGGTGGCTCTCCCATTTATTAGTAATAAGAAGTTTGCATGTGAAAGACATCCATTTATCAATAACCTCCATCTTGCTTGAAAACCCATTTGTACCGTAATCTCATATAGGACTCCCCAACCTACCTTGTCATAGGCTTTCTTGAAGCCTATTTTGCGCATCACTTTAGATTTATGTTGCATTAATTTTGAATGAATGCACTGCTGCACTACAAGGATATTGTACATGAGTTGTTTGTTTTTTATGAATACCAATTGAGCCTCTGTGATAACCAAATCGAACACTAACCTTAACAGATTGACAATAACTTGGCAACTATTTTGTAAAGACTCCCCAAGAGGCTGATGGGCCTTATATCAACAAGTAGCTCTATGGATTATATATTACTCCCTCTTTACCTTGAATTGGCTATCAAATGAAGAAATTCCACATTCTTATCCCTCTCGTCCAACCATTATCATCAGAGGGATAAAGTTTCCCTTAAATTTTATATCATCATTATCATCAGAGCATTTTCCTTTAAATCTGTCCCAACTATTAAGGGACAAACTTTCCCTTAAATTTATATCCCTTAAATTTTATATAATGGAAATAAAAAGATTTTTTTACATAAATTAGGGTTTGTGAGGAATTCCAGGGGCTTACATTTTATATTAAAACTCTATAGGTCCGAAGACTTTTGAAAAGGGTTATAAAACATATACAAATCTAAAGAAAGAAAACATACAGAGAGGATGGAAAAGATAAATGGCAAGAGGCATATATTGCATGTATATCTGGAGATACGTAGGAGTACTGCCCACACTCTACTCCTTCAGAAGGCATGGGGTTCAAGTATGGAATATTAGGTTTCTCTCTCTTTTCATGCTTTAACGCAAAGAAGATTGGCACTATCAGGGGTTTGTCGGAAGGAGATAAACCCTTGATAGTGAGGATGGTAAAGATCGGTACCAAAAGGCATATAATGCATGTATTTCTTTTGGTACCAAAAGATCGGGATATATGTTGGAGTATTGCTCACACTCTACTCCTTTTGAAGATATGGCCTTCAATTGAGTATGGAATATGAGGTTTCTCTGTCTGTATATGTTTTTATATGCAGTAGGTTGACATCAGTAGGGGCTTGTCTCCTTGCTAAGGTATGTAAGAATCGACATGTCACTCCTTCCTTGTTCCTTATCACGTAAGGATATCTTTGTGCAGTACAATATCAATTCCATCTGTCTTCTTCCCCAATGCATTAATGGGGGATTTATAGAAGTTTATATATGATATATTTTGAAATTGTGTTGATTGGCCTTGTTTCTTGACAGGCTTGGCTCTTATCTTTTTGAGATTATCCTTGTCGAGCTTCCAAGTGTATTACCATTGTATTATAATTCAAAAAATACACCAAGTAGCTCCACCTTAAGTTGGCCTAAAGATAATTGACTAACTTTTGTAATCCTTGCCTTAGTGACAATTGATAATATGACATTATTAGACTTTTCTCGAGATAATTTAGGAAAGTTACCCGCATTATTATCCAGATAATATGAAATTATATCACAAAATTTAAGAGCCTCTCGATAAAATCATATTAAGAATATTCATGATAATATTGTGTTTGATTTAATTTCCAACCGGTTTGAAAAATAGATTTGCCAATATATAATGATTTATAATTGTATATATAGATATATATATATATATATATATATATATATATATATAGAGAGAGAGAGAGAGAGAGAGAGAGAGA